GCCAGCCGAAGTTACAAGAGTTACAGCCCGAGGGGAATCGGCAAACATAATGCAAACGAGTTGTGAACACAATTCACAATTCGAGGGAATTTCAAACCCGGACACCAAAATTAAGCTCAATCCGGTTTCAAATGAGTTGATTCCCGCGGTGTAAATACCCCACCTCTCCGCAGAGTGTTAAACTAGGTTAAACTCATGCATACATTCCGTTCTTGGGGCGCCTCGGAGTCTCACGACGTCTCACAGAGCAACTGACAGCAAACTTAACTAAGTGCTGCTTTCCGTTAGCTTAACACAAGCCCTCTCTGCGCGGCCACGTCCGCGCGCCTCGCAGAGGGGCTTGCGACTAATCGTGGATTCCTGGCACGGAGACTCCACCGGTTAAGTCCTCTTATGTAGTTTTTTGATTTTTCCCACTTTCCTCACATGATAAACACAACTTTACCTTGCAGGCAAAGTTGTTCATATTAACTTCTTACATGTGGTGGCACCTTGATATGCTGGTCATCACGACTTCATCAGCCTGATCATGAGCTGATTTTACAAGCTCTTATGTCACACATGTAGGTAGATGTACAGCCTGTATTTGCACTGAACGTGATTTAGAAGAAAATACAATGTCTGAAAGTCCAAAAGGTATTCTCCCTGTCACAGGCAGAAACTAGGGTACCAAAAGTATTGGAACAGACCACAATACAGGCTGGTGTTGTAAAAATGTTCAAGCCATGATTTTTGCTGCATCAGATGGTTTGTCTATGATCCAAGACTACAAGGATGTGTAGAACAAAAAGATGAACAACTTTTCCTGCAAGGAAAAGTCGTGTTGATCAGTGAGGAAAGCGGGAAAAATCAAAAAACTACATAAGAGGACTTAACCGGTGGAGTCTCCGTGCCAGGAATCCACGATTAGTCGCAAGCCCCTCTGCGAGGCGCGCGGACGTGGCCGCGCAGAGAGGGCTTGTGTTAAGCTAATGCTTTCCGCTGTAAATTGTCAGGGGCTATATCACTCGTGAAAGACAGAATTTCATTGCATGCGCAAGTTTTATCAACATTGACGTTTGATAACTTGTTTTGCACTGCGCTGATTAGTCATGAGAGAATTTATATTTCACCTCTTGCCGGTTGAGAATCAAAGATTGTCAAAGATCATACGCATCCACCAATTCCATTTACGATAACAGTATACATATGCTCACAACAAACACTCACTCAAAGATCTTACAAACTCATCGAAGGAAAATGTACACCTTTCTTCTCAATTTTGGCACTATTTTCGGTTTGATCATTCATGTCAGATCACTGTTTCATGAGAGTATCCATACAAGGCTGCTTGAGTCAGAACAAGTGGTGCAAGCATCAAATCTTGGTCAGTTAAACCAAACATCATGAAAACTTATTCAAAACTTATATACACCGTGAAGCTCACACCGCTAATGGTTGTGACATTCAGATCGAGCAGGAATCATCGCGCCAGTGGACAGACATCTCTTGCAACAGGAGCATCTGGATACTTGGAGAGACTTGAGAACTATTGAAGAAGTCGTAAAGAAAAACAAATACACTGTGGTTTTTGGGAAGACGCTGGGAAATGTTGCGAAGGGAATATTAAGTAATTTAAACCTTCTGCCTGAAGAGATTGACACAATCCGTCGCAGTGCTGCGATATGGGCAAAAGATAAAAAGAAAAAAACCCTTGCGATCGCTGTATATTATCTTGCTGAGGTACTCAAACATCACTTGCCCGGAACGACCGATGAAGAAACGCAAAGCTTGGCGCAAAGGTTGATAGCAACTTACAAGTTTCCACCAAATTCAAATGACCGAGACAATGACAGACGCGTTGCAAGGGAGGTTGTTACTCCATTCCTGGATTCAGTTATGTCAGAATTAAGTCTGCACCTCTTGCTTGAGAAATTTAGCAAGACCAAGGGTGAGACCATTGGTCTCTCCTCGAGCTCAGGAGGGAAGCTTGATTGGAAGCAAATGATTACCAAAGAAGATCAACTGCAATATTCTAAATATTATCAGGCATACATGAGACTTATTGAAATCTTTGACAAATTAGCAGCTGCAGGGGCGCAGGACAGGAATTTGATCTTTAAAAACTTTACTCCAAGTCTTGAAAGATCGCAGCGTGGCACAATATACCTGCTTCACAAAAAGGCCACCAATCCCATACAAATGCACCGGTACCTGATCAACCGGCCACCATATCCTACCAACAAGCCGCTAACATTACCTCTTTTTGGCTACCCTGACAAGATCAATGGCAAAAGCTCAGCACAACTTGAGATAAACATCCACAAGACTTGGTCCCAATCTGGAGAACAAGACCTAGAGATTTCATCAAGACTTCTGGAACTCTCAAATAAGATTGCAAATACATGTGAAAAACTTCCTTCCAAAGTGTACACCATGGAAGGTTATGTAGCCCTTTTGGAAACCGCACAAGCTGGTAGTGTCAGGGATAGAGAAATGTTAAATCACATCTCAAGGACTATCAAATTAGTGGTTGACCTTGAAGAAGATGAATCTGAAGAACAACAAGTACTATGGTTCATACTTCAATCAGCACTGAGATCACTTCCAATGAGATCTGAACATAGACAATCTGAGAAACGGATAGAGAACAGTGTGATGTTTTACCTCTTCATCAGAAGAATTTCCACAGTATTGGACACAGTCACCAAGACAGATTCTTCTTCAAATATCACCAAGGACAAAGGTATGAAAGCCAAGTTTATGATGTACTATTGGAGTTTGGTATCATTTGTAACATCTGGGATTAGAAAAACAAATGCAGTTGAGTGGATGGAGTTAGGGCTGGGAAGAGTTTATTTAAATCACCTCAAGTCTTCTGTGACACTGAACAAATTGCATGGACAGATGACCTTGGTTGCAGAAAAAGGAAAAACACCTCATTTGTCAAATTCCATTTGGCTTGATGAATCTGATATGATCTCAGATGAACCCGAAGCAGCATTATTCAATTCAAAGATGAAACCAGCCAAGAAATATGTCAGGAATCCAGATAGGGGTACAAAAAGGTATAATTCATCAAAACAGCCAAAGCTATTCAAGTCAAAGAAAAAGACACTTGAAGGTCCCAGGAGGAATCCACCTAGGCATACAAGAACTTATGTTTTCCCAGAAGATGAAGAACATTATGAGACCATTCCTTCCACTCAATTCAAGGAAACCATTCAAGAAAAGGAATCAAATAAAAACATTCAAGAAATGCTGAACTTCAGGATACCCAAGAGGAAAGCAACCAGATATTCAAATACTCCTGGTGAAGATGAAGCTTCAGGCAAGCAATCAGAGAATACCTCTGATCAGGGAATGGGCCATGCAATGCAGGAGGCTAGAGACTTGCTTGTGCCATTCAAAAAGAGACCCCGGACTACAACCTACAAAATTGTTCTACCAGATATTCCAGTGGGGTTTGTTTCAAGAGAAAATAGGCATGACAATGCACCAAAGTTTGACCAAATACAAACCTCAAAAGACCATCAGAATGAAGCTGTACAAAAAGGACAGGGGAGTCAAGATTTCATACAGACTACAGGAAGTGAGCCTGAATCATCAGGTAAGCTGATTGATGAAATTGATCAAGGAACCATTGATCACAACTGACATCCAAAGCTTTTTAGATCCACTCTCACCAATCATTCCAGGCCAAACTAAACATGTACCACAGAGGGATCAAGAAAATCACCACATCAACCTCAATGATCTAATGGAAGAGGACTTGTCTGTTCTTGATCACAACAACGCCCAGGAACCTCTCTCATCAAATAACAATTTTAACAAGGCAGTTCCCAGTCTTTCAAAAATTGGGGCTGCCTCATTTTCTCAAGCAAGTAAGGACAGCCAAAAAACAGGACCTTCAGGGATGGAATCAATAATCTCCCATAATCACATCAATAGGGTAGAAATACCAGATCTGAATCTTCCCATACAGCTCTCTCCTGAGCAATCATGATCTGGGACTAGCTGTAGCAGCTGCTTCAGTTTCAAGCTTGGTGAGAAACTCTACAAACATATGCATACAAGAAGAAAAAGAAAAAGATAAGGACAAGAGGACTCAATAAGCTCAATCCCCTGTGCTTACTTTTGACTTGGGTGGTATTGGATGGTTTCTTCAGACACCTGCTCAGAACTGTGGGTCCTGGTATCAGTTTTACATTTACCTGTCCTTAATTTCTACTTGGCTGGTATTGGATGAGTTCTTCAGATTCCAGGGTGGTTTGTTTTGTTGATATTTTTGGCATAATTTGTTTCTTTCATACCTGAAAAGCATCATACCTCACTTTATTTGGCCCAAACTCCTTTTTATATCAAAAAATTCTTTTTGAGACATTCCATACTTTGTTCAAAAGCCTTGTTTATGGTAAGATTTCTTCCTCACAACCTGTGTCTTTCAGATAATTCGATCCCACTTGAGACTTCACAAGGGTGAACATCCAAAACAAATTTGGTATACACTGTAAATATCAAACAACTTCCCCCAGAGGAAGAGAGGAATGTACTTGAGGGTAGAATTGGACATAGAATCAAAAGTACAATGCACCTGAGCTATAACACTCACACTACATATATGCAAACCACTGAGAAAATTGTTAGATATCATCTACATACAGCTTTGCTCAGTTGTCCACTCATTTGAGCAAGTGAATTGTATGTAATACGTCCTGTAACCTTTGTTGGATGGAGAAAGACATCCAAAAAATCAACTACATATAACTCCATGGATACCCAGCCAGGCAATACTCATGAAGCCATTCAACAGTAAAAGAAAGGATATTACATCAAGTTTTGTTCATACAATTACACCAAAATTCAAAATCAATACACATAGTCAGCTTTTTAGACATCTTTCTCAATCTGTAAAAGGTTACATGATGTATTACATATGATTAACTTGTTCAGATGAGCAGATAACTGAGAAAATTTGTATGTAGATAATAGCTACCAAATTGATCAGTGGTTTGCATGTATGTAGCGTGGGTGTTATGGCTCAGGTGCATGGTACTTTTGATTTATGTCCAATTCTACTCTCAAGCATACATCCTTCCACTTGGGGAATTTGTTGTATGTATATAGTGGATAGGTGTTTATAAAGCTTTACTTCTTGTCTGCAACTTCGCTCAATGAAGCTCTATCAAAATAGTGGTACATAGGGTGAAGTACACATTGATGATTTTATTGGTTCCATTGCCTTTGTTTTCTTATGTGTTCCATGTGAAATTCTGATTGTGAACCTCACACTTTGAATCAGATAGTGATAACCCACCTTCAATATACATGATTTGAACTGGAACCTTGGGAACCTTGAATGTGTTTTTTTGTCATGAAGGATCACTGAATCTGGAGCTTTGAATCCAAGAGTGTACCCTAAAGAAATCTTCTTGCTGCCCAAAACTACATAAGAACAAGTTCAACGCTGCTAAAAATACAACACAATATAAAAAGGCTCCATCAACGTGTACTATATAGAGAATTGTACATGATTATTGTATATCAAGAATCACTTAGAGATGATCCACATGAAAACTAGATGAAACAAAGAGTAAGATAGAAGAAATTTTGCAAGAAAATGATATCATTTGATTGCGAAACACGGCTGGTGACATTTATACAGAGACTGTTCGATTGTCAACCTTGTGACCATTGATTGCACCAACTGATGATCTTTGGAATCTAAGCTTGCCAGGAGTTCTTCATAGATTACCACCGATCACTGCTACCTGAAGGCAGATCAGCAGGCTTACTTGAAGCGGTCGAATTGGTCGAGGGGCCCTTAGGCGCTGGTCGCTTCTTTTTTGATGACTTGGGTTTTTTGGGGGGATCTGCAAATGGGAGATCGGATTTTCGTGGTGGCTGGGTGGCTTTCAGAAGTGGTTTCACGTCATTCAGATTACCATCCCCAGAGGACATCAACCGTTCGTAAATTCTTATCACGGTCACTACATCTGCTGCGGCGTCTAACGATCGAACAAAAACATGAACATTGATGGTCAGAAAGTGAATTATTCACCCTTATGAAATTGTGCAATCCAGGTTTTACTTGACTTACAATGAGCTTGTGAACTCGTAAGCTGAGTGGTCTCCCAATTGGAGATAGTCAATTTTTTGGTCTTTGGTAGATGAAGGTTCAAGTATCGGTCGACTAATTTTTGCAAAGAAAAAGTTCCATTTCCTATCTCCTCTTTTGCTTGACTATCAAATTTTTTAATCAGATCATTAATCTCTAAATAATTTTTAAGCTTAACGATCTGATCATGACTGTCAATCCAGATATCTTGATCGATCTTCCGTTCATCGCTGATGATTCCGGCTCCCATCTTGATGATTTCTGTACTCGTGATCAAATCTGCTAAACACTGAGGAAAGGTGGCTTCTTTCCACTTTTGTCCATCCAGTTGAACGAGTTGAATAATGAGTACCTTAGATCGACCAGCAAGTTGAATAAGTGATGTGGTTCGAGCGCACTTTCTACTCCAATCGTGACACCATTCCATATCGAATGCGATGGCTTTCATCGATTTCGATCCAGATTGATTATTCGCATTTGAAGGACCATGTATGTCGATTCCATCCGCGACGACTTCATTCAATAAACTTTTCAGATGCCTCTTTGAATAATTCTCGGAAGGGCAAAGATAGATTGTCTGAGGAGGCCATCGTGGATCTTGGACCTGAAAATCTGGACGGGCAACATTATCGGATGGGATAGTTTCCTTTGTGCGAAAGAAGTTGATCAGCTTTTTCAATTCTAGAGTGGTGACTTTATTTGATCACACGGTCATTGGGAGAGATATTGAATATGACCAAAATCCAACTTGAAAGTCACCTGGTATGCCATCTTCTGAAACTTGGAAGACTTGAGTGGAATCGAAGGACGTCGCTTTAACGGGGTTAAGTTCTTGATCTTGGTGAGAGTTTGCTGAGGAAGTGTACAACCAACAGGATTGTCAGAAGATTTGATGAGAGGTGAATCAAAGAAATTCAGAAGTCTATGAATTGATCTGATAGAAAATGCTGATGTGAGTTGAGCACCTTGATAAAGGGAAGTCAAGAGTGCAGAGCTCATGAATGACAAGCTGGAAGAAATGAATGCGCAGTGGGTTTTTGTACGAAAAATCTTGGTCTTGTCAAGTCCGACTGTAGTGTAATTCCACACGGTACACGGTACACGGTACACCAAGTATGTAACCGGTTACCGTACACGCCATTCGGTTATAGATAAAGGCCAGATACTTTGGCTGACTTTAACTTCACCCATCAAGTTCTATTGCTCTACAGAATTCCAAGAACTTCAACCATGCCACCTCAAAAACATAATCAAACCAAACATCTCAATCATAACAAAAAATCAAATGGATTCAAGATTGGTAAACTTTCCAAAATGTCAGAATCTTATCGTGGAAAAGGTACGATCGATTAATCAGAATCATTTCACTGATTAAAATTTCGATTCAATAAAAAAACGATATCTAACTTCGTTTGTCTGACCTTTTAGCTGTTCAAATCAAAAAAACCCTCATCCATAAAGCAAAATTAAAGAAGCAAAGAGCCAAAGAATTAATCCAAGCTGGTTATTCAACTGAAACCAAATCTCATAAAGGACCAAATCAATCTACAAGTCGATCTGACCCAACGAATGCATTTGAATTGAAACGAGGAATGGAAGTCAATGATCCAATGGACTTAGATACTTCAACCTTTCCACAACCAAAACTTGGACCGCGTAAAGATGGAATGAGAATAGATCATGATGAATCTCAATCTCAATCTCAATTTAATTCACTTAAACGTCCTCAAAAATCGTCACACAGTACGAATAATAATGAGATCATTGAAACTCAACCCAGTTTAAAAAAGCGCAAGATTCAAGAATCACAACCTTTCACATCATCGTCTAATTTACCCGATCCTCATAATCCTACGAAAAACAACCGATCTTCATTATCTCGGTTGAAAAAGAATCAGATGCTTCATCCGAATGGACAACCTAGATTATCAGTTAAGCTAAATCGAATGCTCGATAAGATTCAACGTGGAGCTTGAAAGGGAATGCATATCATCTATATCCAAGATACCTCCAGGTTTCTTGAAGGCTCCGGGGTGGCTTTTAAGACGCTCAAAATACTGTTCTTCCCTTTTCCTGTACATTTTTACCAACACGGTTTATCTCACAATCATTCTGCACAGTTTTTCATTGTATTCTCCGAAGATTCTTTCTATGTTTTGTTGATACCTCAATCAGACTCAGACCATAAGGTTTGGACAGATATGATGATCCATACACGAAAGGATTTCAACAGCTTTCTTTCTGTTCTCATCCAACTTGCAGATTCTTTTTAATTCTCTCTCTCTATACACACCTCCAATGACGTTTTATTATTGAATATAATATCCAAACACATGAACAAATAAGACTGATTGTGATACATATCATGACTCTATACACTAATAAAAAGCAATAAATGGGCGAAACCAGACAGAGATGGAAAAGTTTTCCAACTTGCTGGTATACAAAGCATCTTTTTGGGGGATAGATTGTCTGATTGCATCCCATAACTTGAAAGAAACAAACCAGGCAAGTAGATTTGAATTAGAATTCTGATTTCAACTTTTTATCACTCATATGTCATCTCTATGATGCCTTTAGCTGATGGATCAGATATCTCATACTCTTTGTTAATGTGATTTATGAGTGATCACAGTCCTGTATGATTTTGGTTTTCAACCTTGCTTCCAGGGAATCTCTCAGAACATTGCAAGAAACGTAGATTAACAGGTTCCATGGGACGCCGCGAGAGGCACTTTGTAAAGTCTAGCAAGAGACTGAGGTAGAAGATCCAACAAGTTTTCCTCATTGAATTCGGTACATTTCGTTTAAAAAATGGTTTGTGTTTTCAAGTCTTATTGATTTTGTGTATCACCCTGTTCAGTAAAGGATATATACATCACACTATCTGATGTTATCTGAGTTGCAAAACGCTTCAGATGTTTTTGCATCAGAGCAATAGTGGGGTTCAAGTTAAAAAAATTGAGCTAAGATTATAGGCAACTCGAGCCACTTTTTAAGTCTGCTTGGTGCTTATAAAATGCGTGATCAGTCCACAAAAGTACCTAAATATAAGTCAGGTTGGTCTATAAAAAACAACCTTTGAAGCAAAGATACAGTTTTCAAAAGGTTGAAATCAGAAAAAATGGAATAAAATGTGTTGAAGATCGATGAGATACATTTTTTAAAGGTGTTTCTAGAAGAGTCGAAATTGAAATGTGATACCTAACCCCGCTACAAGACTATGCTACTACTTGTACAGGGCTTGGTACCACAGGCCCAAATTCAACACTCCTCGCCTGGCTCCGAACCATCTCCACAAATCGATCACCTCTCACCTTCCCTACCCCTCATTTCGATACGATACTGTTTGACTTGTCCCTCCGAAACACCCGATTCGACGGTCGAACATCCTACGCTTCATTTCGATACGATACTGTTTGACCTTTCCCTCAGAAACACCCGATTCAACGTTTGACCTGCTGTTGGTGTCGAGTGTCCCACACATTGTTGGCTTCACGCTACAAATGCCAGGGGCATTTGTCCCACTTCAGATCACCGTTTGAAGGAGAACATACTGAAAGAGCTGATTTATGTAAGTAATTTTTCCTCTCTTTGATGGTTGATACTCAAAATACTAACCAATCGATGCTTGTGTGATCAGACTCAAACCACCAATTCGCCTGGTTTCTTTTCAATCAATCCGAATTCCAACATGCGTCTTTCCCAACGGGCTCAGATGATTCGAGATCTCACCCTTGCCTGTGTCTGGGAACATCTAGACTCGATGAACGACTTTGCGGTGTATGATGACGAAGAGACAGACTTTCCTACCGATGGCCAGCTCTTATATCCGGACAATCCAGAAGAGGCCGAGCTCTATGATCAGAATTTCAATCAAGAGAATGAACTTGCCGAGCTACTTACTTGGGTCAGCGAAACTCGATACCTTGTTCCCAGATTCAAAGCACCTCACGCCTCTCCATTCAACTTAAATGATATGCTACGTGAATGCCGCAAAGACTTTCGACAAGCAATGCGGACCACTCCTGAAGGATTCGAAGCACTGAGGGACTTGATTAAGGACCATCCCAGCTTCATTTCAACCAGCAATAACCCACCACCTCCACTCGAACAACAGCTTGCTATAACTCTCGAACGATTAGGCAGTAACGGAAATGGAGCGTCAGTAGGCCGGTTCTCACGTAACTACAAGGTTAGCCGTGGTCAGGTCATCAAGTGTACCCGCCGAGTCATAAAGGCCATAATCGATAGAGGTGGCCATTATCTGGCTTGGCCATCAGCTGATCGACGAAAGGGAATCTCATCAGTTTTAAAGCAAGATGGCTTTCCTGGATGTGTTGGATTTGTGGATGGAACCACGATCCCTTTGTATCAAAGGCCTGGACAAGATGGTGAAGTTTTCTTTGATAGAAAACATGATTATTCGATCAATGTGCAAGTAATTTGTGATTGCAATCGGCGCATCACTTATCTTTATGGCGGCTGGCCTGGCTCTTGCTGCGATAGTACGGTCTATGGAAAGAGCGACTTGGCAGGAAACCCAGACAAGTATTTCTCACCGGGTGTGTACAGTCTTCTTCTTTTGTGTATTCTTTTTGTCTTTATCTTGGGCTGATGAATTTCTTCGTAATTGTAGGTGAGTATCTTGTTGCTGATTCAGCATATGTTGCATCCGAAACTGTGGTTCCTTCTTACAAAGGACCAGCTGCTCAGATTGATAGGAATCGCGAATTTAATTGGTGCGTGGCAAAAGCCCGTGTTCGTAATGAACACTGTATTGGAATCTTGAAGGGTCGCTGGGCCTCGCTTCAAGGACTTCGGCTTGCATTAGACAAAAAGGAACATATGAATCATATACTCCATTGGATCAAATGTTGTGCTATCCTTCACAACATGCTGGCCAATCTTGGAAATGCATGGGATGACTTGACGGAGCCAATTACGGAAGGTAATAATCATGATAATGCTGGTATGGATGATTTTGAAGCACCTGTGGATTTAAGTGCACAAGAAAGAGGTCGTTCAAAAAGGGACAAGGTACGGGACTGGGCTGTATCTTACAACTGGAAAAGTGGTGGCCTGCCAATTGTGGATCCTCGTATTTAAAGTGTAAGTTATGATCAGTTTTGTATTCTTTCTTATTTGATTTTGATTTTGATTTCACCTAACAAAGCTTTTGGATAATCTACAGGTGATGAAATTCTTTCAGATTGAAGTCAATGTTATTCAATAGTACATACGTTTTTATGAAACTTTCAATTCAAATAATTCAAATAAAAGTCGAATCCCTGTTTCTTTTGTATCTACTCACATGTTGTTCTGTTGGAAGATGTCAAGTTATATGAAAATCATGTTTCTTATGTGTCAATCAACTCGCACAGGTTTTATTTTCTTCTATCATGAGCATCTTCAATTTCTCATTTGAGATTTCTCTACAATTTCCTCGTCAAAGACAAGTTTATAATACGGTAAAAGAGAGTGAGGATTTTGCAAGTCCAATCCTTTGAACGATTGATTTCATTGAACTTTCATAAAAAACAACTTGAGGAACAGAGGAAGAAACAAACAATGTACACAATCAATAACCTTGTACTTGGTTCAACACAGGAGAATACAAATACAAGTTACATGAGTTGAACTCAGTCCAATCAACTTGAGAAGTAAGAAAAGAAAAAGGAATACATAAAAATGGACTCAGTCCAATCAACTTGAGAAGTAAGAAAAGAAAAAGGAATACATAAAAATGGACTCAGTCCAATCAACTTGAGAAGTAAGAAAAGAAAAAGGAATACATAAAAATGGACTTGAACTCAGTTCATAAAAAAGAAACTAAAAGGGGATGGAAAGAAGATTTAAAAAGGAATCTTGAGTCTAGATGACTGATTTGATTTGTTTGATTTGATTTGTTTAATTTCATTTGTTTGATTTGATTTGTTTGATTTGATTTGTTTAATTTCATTTGTTTGATTTGATTTGTTTGATTTGATTTGTTTAATTTCATTTGTTTGATTTGATTTGTTTGATTTGATTTGTTTGATAAGCTTGAAGTCTACATGACTGATTTGTTTAATTTGATTTCTTTAATTTGATGGATGGTCGAGAAAGATTGAAAAGTTTAATTTGATTTCTTTGATTTGATGGATGGTCAAGAAAGATTGAAAAGTTTGTTTTCGTCAATTGATTGTTGAAAGCCTACAGAATCGAATTAATTAAGGACTTGTTTAGATGTCCTGTGAGATGATTGGAAGATGAGGAAAATAGGAAATCAGTAAACTTGATTCAGTAGAAGATAGATAAATAGATACACTTACGATTGTTCAGATGAGACAACAGCAAGAGAATCGGTTCCAAAGGCAGGAAATACTGCAGCAAGGTAATCTGTAACTTCTTGAGGAGATTTGCCAGATAAAATAAGGCTTTGAGCGAATTTGCTACGTTCAACAATTTGTGCTTGTATATGCTCCTTCTCAAGTTTTTGCTGTTCGAATAGCTTCACGGCTTGTACTTCTTGCTTTCTGATTACCTCGGCGTCAGCAGCCTCTTTTTGCTTCATCATCTCTAAGTTGCGACGCCAGATGTTGTTAGATCTGATCTCTTTATTTCTATCATGGCTGCTAGTCATCAGTGCAACAGCGATAGGATTCTTGAGGTCCTTCGTACGAACTGCCGATGGATCGATAGAAGGAAGAGGATCCATCGGGCGGGAGACAATGGTTTTGTTGGGGCCGGTGGACTTGCGGGACTGGGGTTGTGATTGCTTCATCCTCTTCTTGGAAGGGCCAAGGATTTCCGAATCGTCGTCGCTTCCAGAATCAAGAGCCATTTCCTCGGCTGTGAGCAAGGCTTCCGCACGGTGTTTCTTCTTGGGCTTTTTGGTGGTTTGAGTTGGTTGCTCGTCTGGGATGTGCTCGTCTAGGATGTCTTCATTTCCGCTGTTGAACTCCAACTCTGGTACTGGATCGTAATCAGGTGGTAAGATTGAATGGTTAGTCGCGGTGGAAGGATTGTCAGCTGGACAACTGTCTTTGTTGAGATTCAAGTAAAGATCATCGACCACAGGTTGAGCGCCGGCTACTGGAGAGAAATTTCCTGGTGGCATGTTGAGGCAGTAATCAGCAGAAGGATCAATTGGTGGTGGTAGGTCCGGGAATTCGAATTCGGCTTGAGAAGGATCAAGAGGGAAGGGGATATTGAAATCAGGTGGGAAGGGTAGATCCAAATCAGGTGTGAGAGAAGCGATGAATGCCTGAAGTCTGGATTCTGATTCTTGTCGGGTTGAAATGCGATAATCAGAGTTGTTTTCATCTTGAGCTTGATCTTGAGCCTCCTCCTCCTCCTCCTGATCTTCTTCGTAATCTTCGTAATCTTCAGCGTGATTGTCTTGAGCAGATAAACTTAAGTGAGATGCCGTTCGATCTGGATGGAATGGATGAATTTTTTCTTGAGTTTGTTCCTCTTCTGAGTCGGAAACGTGAGTGACTTCGCTTTTCATTTCAGAGGACTCGACGGAAGATTGCTCGGCTGGTAAGGGATTCAAAGTCGAAGTTGTTCCAGTGTCCATCACTGCAAAAGCACTGATATTTGGCTTATCTTTGAAGATGGCGTCCATTTCAGCATAAAAAGGACACTTGTGCTCTAATAACTCTTGAGGAGTATCAAAACCTTTTGCACATTGTTCATCTTTTAGACCTTGCCCAGTCGAACAAGCTAGCTCTCTGACTCTGTGGTACCTGGCCTTGTACCGTTTGATGCGGGCTTCCAGAGTTCTCCCGGTGAGGTTCATTACCAATCCGTTTGGGTGTGATTTTGATCGACTAAAGATTCGATTTCGGGTGTTGTAGTCCGTGTTGATTTCTTTGGCTAAGGTGCTGAGGTAGGTAGCTGGGGACATAGGTAAGCCGGTGACCTTGGTTCGAGCCGATCCAAAGATTATATCGCGGTTCTTAGGTACAGACAGGAAAGTCACAATACGCTCATAGTCGGGTCTTCGAAAGAGAGGTCCATTTTGTGTTGCTTGGGATGCTGGTACAGAAGGTTGAGATGCTGAAGGAGGTTTCGGAGTCAAAGCTGGAGATTTTAGAGTCGGAATTCTAGATTTGGGAGTTGCTGAAGTTCCCTGGGATCTTGAAGCTGTGACCGTTGAACGTGAAGTGGTGGACTTTTGGGTTTCCAAGCGGTCTCGTTCTTCCGCAGCCAAACGAGATTGTCTGAGTTCAGCACGAGTTTGCTTGCCTCTCACCGTTTGCCCACATAAGGCAGCATCTGATGCTAAAGCTGCCTTCGTGCGACGAGGTTTTCTTGGCTAGAAGGTAGAAAAACAGAAGGGTAAGTCAGCATTCATCAACAATCAAATAGAATATAAAACAACATACCAAACCACTTTTTGTAAGCTTGGGGGATTGCTTTGGCTTTGGCTTTGGAGGCATTGCCAATAGTAGATCCAGAGAGGCGGATAAAAGTAGAAACCAGATACGAGAGAACGAGATCGAGATTGAGAAGACTTGATTGAAAAAGTAGAAACGAAACCGGATACGAGAGAACGAGATCGAGATTGAGAAGACTTGATTGAAGGAGTAGAAACGAAACCGGATAAGACAATCTTGAGATAACAAAAGAGAAGACTTGGTTGAGACTGAATCCTAAAGTACAGTAACAAGATCAAGATCGAGAAGACTTACTTGAAAAAGTAGAAACCAGATAAGACGATCTTGAGATAACAAAACGAGGAGACTTGGTTGAGACTGAGAATAAAGATAACCAAAAGAAGCTGAATCCTGAAGTACAGTAACGAGATAAATAACGAGAAAGACTTGAAAGACACTGAATCCTAAAGTACGAAAACGAGATAAATAACGGGAAAGACTTGATAGAAACTGGATCCTAAAGTACGAAAACGAGACTGAGAATAAAGATAACCGAAAGAAGCTGTAACGAGAAAGACTTGAATGAAGCTGAATCCTAAAGTACGAAAACGAGATAAATAACGGGAAAGACTTGAATGAAACTGGATCTTAAAGTACGAAAACGAGACTGAGAATAAAGATAACCGAAAGAAGCTGAATCCTGAAGTACAGTAACGAGATAAATAACGAGCAAGACTTGAATGAAGAGAGTTGATTGAGGAGAAAAACTTGATAGAATGATCTTGAGGTGAGTTGATTTGATAGAATGATCTTGAGGCAAGTTGATTTAAATAGTCAGAGAGGGTGTCCACGTCCACGAAAGGATCAAGTTGAATGGCTGATAAGCTGTGGTCAAAAGCGAGGGAAGCTTGTTGATTGCTTTGATATGATATCGAGTCCGATTGGTGGTTTTGAAAAGGCTTCCTCCGCATCCGCATAAACTTCTGAGTAGGATCTTGATTTTGAAGTAATATCGCCGGGTGCGTCAAGATATCGTTTGATATCGGTTGTTGTGGTGGTGGTGGTGGGGATTCCATATCCGGCACAAGGTGGTTGGTGAAGGTGGTTGGTGAGCTGGATGACCAATCACGGCTATAGGCTTCTTGGTTCCGAACCGGCCACCAACAGTAGTTTATCTCTGTTGTTATGGGCTGAACAACGGAGAAAACAAACAAAAAACATAGTTTACAAAAACGAAAAAAACAAAAAACACAGTTTAGAAATGAAAAATTAAAAAAAAAACAGTTTACGAAAAAGAAAAATTTAAAAAACACAGTTGACAGAAAAAAAAAGTATATCTTTCTAAAAAGAACCGTTGAAAGAAGTACCAGATAATCTACTTTTTTCTTGAAGCAGAAAAATTTCGATTTGCTTATAATTTAAAGCATCAACTTATAAATTATAAGTTATCCGAGCAGCTCTAAAGCTGCTCGGATGGCTTATAAATAAAACTATAATTTGTTACTCCCGAACATTGCTTAAAATCCGTTATAAGTCCATTTTTTTTTAACTTGAACCCCACTAATGATTACCTGTTTTTGATTGAGATAAGCACTTCAACTTTCCAATGTCTCCAAACCTCCAATCACAGACTGCTACTACCATGGAATATGATTCAAGATTGATATCTCCTGTGACACAATCTTTCCAAAGGAACATAATGATATATACAGCAATCAAAACCATCAATGGCCTTTCATGACTCAATATATTATTAACCTCACGAGTAAAGCTAGTAAATTCTGATTCACAATTTATCCGAATTCCTTCCCGCTGCGAAGCCTCCCAAGGTTTGACTAGACAAGTATTCCAAGAGAAAAAATTTGTAGCGAACTCCTGCAAGTAACACCATCATGGATAGGGAACAAACACATGAACTGTGTGGTCATTGTGATAGGATAGTGATGATTTCAACAGATCAATCTAGTTTTTTTACAAATGGGGCTCAAGGATGAGATACAAGGGGACCTTGAGGATGATCAGTCTAACTAGATAGATTGCTAAGTGAGGATCAACCTCTGCCACTCGTGAGCCTTGAGGGCTCTACTGATACCAAAGCTACATGTCATGTATGTGTAAGTACAAGTATCACATTCCTAGGATTGTCAGGGTGGCTACTATAATGACGTACGGGTTGGTCTAGCTCAACAGTTCGTACACAGATCCTGACGAGTGATTCCGCTGGTTACGTGGAATCTAAGTTGTTTTCTCCTATCAATGTTCACGAAAAGAAGAAAAGATAGCTGTTAGCTAACTAAGATAATTTCGCACTCCTATGTAAGGTTAGTAAACTACAGGCCCACTGTTAGTTAACAGATGTAGGCAGGTCAGGCCTGAGCCGTAGCTTGATCTCAAGAACTCGAAAGTTAATGAGCAGCCTGTGAGATATCTCAACAGGGATCTTGTCGACACGAGTGCCACAAGACCTGGGTCCTTGACCAGAGGAATTAGAGAGGAATGTAACTAACCTGTGATTTAACGCCGGATAGAATTCTTCAGGAGGGGTAGTAGTTTTATAAGAAAAGCGAATGACACTGATTTAAGATTTTATTTTGAAAAGATAAGCTAACAAGATTATTCGTCGGGAATTTCTTGGAAGCTAGTATTTCAAAAGATATTTTCGATTTCTAGATGGTAATCTAAATAGAAAATTTGGTGTGCGTAAAATCAGGTGGGTCCCTTCTCGTTCTTGCTTCTTAGCTGGGTATTTATACCTTAGACACTCTTATTGTTCAGCTTGCGGTCTAATAAGTGCAGTGTTCTTCAATTGTTATAGATACTACTAATCTTAACGGGTCTTTAGTCATTTTACGTAATTTGCATTCTAATGAGTATATTACTCATTTTACGTCGTGGTCTAATTCCTTCCGTAAGGTTGATTTTCGTAATCGGTGTCTTGGCTCCGTTAATTCATCAAGTAATCATCCTTAGTTTGTGAATGTCTTCTTATGATCCATTACGTCGTAGTTATTAGATCCTCACGTAATAATCCTTGGCTTGTGAGTATTCCTCTATGATCCATTCTAATTCTTGATTAGCTGGAATTGATCTTTCATATCCTTTCGTTCATCTCTTATCTTCGTTTTGATTTCTTCTCCGACCTAGTCTCTTTCTTATGGTGCTGGGTAGCTTCCGAAATGTTCCTTGATAGATTTTTAACTAGATTACGTCATAGTATACGAAGTATATTCTTCTTTCTTCTTTTGATACTAAGTCTTCGAAAAGGTGAGTGATTCGAAAAGGTGAGTGAGAATGTTTTTAATAGACAGTTTTTATATCTTTTCTCTTTTCTCTGTTTTCTAGTTGAGTGTGATTTCGGTTTGGTTGTCTTGGTGCTCAGCACTCTGGGACCATTTTGACCTTTGAAACTAGGTCTAAGAAGTTGTAATTTTATTAGTGTATATTTTGACGTCTGTAATTTACGTTATACTATATATAAAAGAAAATGGAAATATAAATTTTATGTCACAAAAAGGTGTAGCTCTTCTGGCTCTCTATGTGTAAGAGCTCGGGAGCTGACAAGGATCGTGACAGTTGTGTTGGGTAACATGTCATTCGTCTCCATGAAATTCTAGATGCCGTAGCCAACAAGGTCAAGTGTGATTCATAAAGAATGACAGTTAGTAACGAGTCAATATCATATGCTTAATTGCAAGGAAGTTCTAGATGGTCCACTTATGTTGGTGTAGGGACCATTTGTTACGATTGTACCCTCTCACAATTCTATCCGGTGGTATGCATTTAGACACCTCTTCCCAAAATTCAAGGATTAAGCCAAATCCATCGATCAGTATTTTGGTGCATCATTTTATATGGGCACCGCAAAAGGTTTGGGTGAATTCTGGAGATCCATGCCATGTCTTGATGTTTGAAATTAATGTATGCACTCGAAATGACGTTGCCTAAGGTAACACGCATCATCAATATGTCGTTCACCGAGTGTTAGGGCATCCCGCCGGATAGCATATGTGCGACTGATTGTGGCAATCTTTCAAGAGAAAAATATCATTTGTGAACATCCGGTGAGATGAGTGAGGGTCACCTTTGTGGTGGCAGTGGCATTTGCAAAAATTTGCGCAGAGATGACTGAGACACGCTCCCATTTGGCGGGAAATTCCAAACGCGGTCAAGAAACATTGATAGCTTATCCAATCAACACTGAATTATTCATTTATTTGAAAAATGGCCGCAAGGTCAAAATCACTACACAATGGATAGTGGTAGTGTTGTGAAAGTGCTGTGGCACTACCCTTTCAAAAATTAGTTTTTGTGATAGTGGTTGATGCACAGCCCTATACAAAAGTCCAAAATTTCTATAGTGGTATGTCCACTACACTCACCAGTTTTGGCAGTGTGTCCACACATATAGTGGTCCACATGGTGTACTGCAGTGTGCACTGATAGATAATTTATTGGAATTTCATCAGGCTCTGCCCCCAAACAATTAGAAGTCCTGTGCTTTGTTAAGACCCTTGTTCATCTTTCCTTTAGCATGAAAGGTATACACATACTTGAGTTCACCTCTGTCATACTTTGCCCCACTCATCCACCTTGTGACCTTCTATAATCCGCTTTCCCCACCGCGTCTACCATACCAGTGCACCCCATCAAAATCATGATCAAAAGTGAGTTTCAAATGAAAAGTATGAAATAACCTGCCTTAATCCCCTTGGACCATTGCTTGTGACTTATAAATCTAGATTCATTATCAAAAACTTTGATTTAAACAGCATCCTCCCAATAATCATACTTTACATACCATTCCATCTCCCCCCAAAAAATGTCTTCTCAATTTGAGACTTTATCCAGTTCTTTA